ATATCGTATCGTGACCCCTCTGTCATGATATGTATCGTATCGCCAAATTCTTGCCAATACACAGCCCTAGTAGACACCCACTGTAATGCTGGTCCTCTAATACCGCATTTGTTCAATTTTTTTTATTTTTTATTTTATTTTCCTTTAGTCGTTTCAGGACTGGACAGAAACTGATCTGATCCTGTCCAGGATTCATTTTCATCATCAGAGCTTCRAAGAAATCCTCATTTCTCCAGCCTGAGTTTGGTGCGTTTTCCTCCCAGCAGCTCATTCATCATCAAACAGAAACGAACACGACTGCTTCCACCAGCGGGCCTGGCCAATCAATGACCGTTCCTCAGAGCTCCCACTCTCACAGATATTAATAAGAAACAGTAGCAGGACATTAATCACCACACCCGGACCTCGAGCCTCTCCTGTCCTGGAGGAGTTCCTGCTGCAGCTCTGACCTGCCGACCGGGCCCTGAGGGGCATATTAATACTATATTAAGGTCAGTGGTCAAAGAGCTCGTTTTTCATGGTGTCATATTAACCTTGTGGGTTTAAGAGGACCTCAGAGGCTCTGCAGGTCAGCCCTGCACCGAGGCCGAGTTTGATCAAAAACCAACATCAAACATGATCACAGATGAAACAAACCACTCCTCCACACAGAATCCTCCCTCTGCTGTACAATAATTATCAAACCTTTCATTTCCTCCTGACAGCTCACAGCTTCAGGGTTGATCTCAGATTCTACAAACAGAAGTGACTCATCAGACGAGTCCTTTCTGCCATGAAACCTGCTGAAACACCGAGAACCAAACAGGTCACGAGAAACTTCAACACGCATGGTGGTGAATGATAATCATTCCTTCAAAGACCAGTTTTATTACTGAAGAAATACACATTTTCAACTTTGTTGYATATTTCTCACAAAAATTTGGGATTTATGATAAAATAAAGTTTTATGAAAAGGCAGCCTGTGGCTTTTATCTGTAATTCACTCCAGACACTGAAAACCTGTGAAATAAACTTGTTTAAAGCTCTCAGCTCAGCATCAAACAGACAACTTCTAAATGAGAACAGAAGTTGTGTTTCAGTAAATCTGGGAAAAACAAGGTTCTATTAAAATCTAAAACAAAGTGATTAAAACATATTATTTTGTGTTGAATCCATCTCTTTTCTCTTCGACGAGCAGAGTTTCTCGCAGCCTCTTGTCTTCCAGTCAGATCGGAGTCTGGACCTGGAGGTCCAGTTTATTAGATTTGAGCAGCTAATAGTCTGTAGCCCACGTTCACAAACACAGGATATTCACTTAGGCCTTTACCGCCCTCGCTCCTCTCTGTGTTCTCAGCTCGGGCCGGGTGGAACCGTCCCTGATCGGGCCGGGTGGAACCGTCCCTGATCGGGCCGGGTGGAACCGTCCCTGATCGGGCCGGGTGGAACCGACCCTGATCGGGCCGGGTGGAACCGTCCCTGATCGGGCTGACTGCTGTCAGCAGCTGAGCAGCTGCACAGCATCAGGTTTCACACATGCATTTGTGCACGTCCACGTCTGCCTTCAGGAAGMCCTGCAGACGAACGGCCTCCTGATTTAAAGGGTCAGGGGTCAGGGTTCAGGAGGAGGAGGAGGAAGGACAGAGACCGATGTTCTGAGCAGGGTTTTGAAATTTAGCCTAAAAACAGGGAAACAGAAAAGCAGGACCACTGAGGACCTCAGCACCTCGGACAGTTCCCACACTGACCCTCCCCTCGGTGCAGTCAGCAGCCACTCAGCAGGTTTACATCACTTTAATTAGAGCAGCTGCTGCCTCAGCCAATCAGAGGGCAGCTCACCTTCACTTTAACCCCCCCCCACAGAACACCCACCTGCTCTGCACCCTGGAAGCAGATCCTGCAGCTGGGGGTGGGGATGCACGTCTCGCTGCTGCAGTTTGAATGCATCACCTTGCAGGTTGGCCCCCCGACCGCCCCCTCCTCGCTGGAAGTGTTCCCGCCGTTCTCCTCCTCCGCCTCAGCTCCAGACGCATCCCCTCCTGCATCCTCCTCCTCCTCCTGCTGCTGCTCCTCTTCCTCTGGGCGCGGACGTCCTTGGTACCGGAGCGGCTCGCTCTCCTCCCAGCTGTGGGCGCCGGCCGAAGCCGCCCCCTCCTCCTCCCGGCACGCTGGACCCGCATCTCCCCCCTCGGCGCTCATGATCCCCTGCAAAGTGGAGAGAAAATGGCATCGCTCCTCTGGCCTCCTGCGACGGAGGAGACGGCTTTCCTGAGCCGAACACAAAGTGGAGGAAGGATGAGCTGCATGCTGCTCCCAGCTGCCTCCTCATCCGTCTGCTCCACAGAATGCCTGATGAGGAGGTGAGACGTGGCGACCCCCCCACTCCTCCTCCTCCTCCCCCCTGCCTTAAAGGAATCACCTGCTGACAGCTGCAGGCTAAAAACACACAAATACTAAAACTGAACCTTTCAGAAAAATGATCAAAACTAATCCTTATTTCATCACTAACAGGTCAGATTTTCCTTCATTTATCAACTGAACTTCAAGTAAAAACAGCTAAAAATTAGGGCTGTGAAATGATTAAACATTTTAATCAATTAATTCCGAGGTAGCTGTGAATTAATCACGATTAATC